CTGGGGAATTCTGGGAGTTGAAGTCCACACATCTTCAAGCGCCCAAGGTTGAGAAACACCGCATTAGAGGTTCCAACCCACAGCAGTTTGCAGTAATCCTTCTGTAACCCGGCTTGGTCCTTCAGCAGTTTTCTCAAGCTGAAAATACATGACGAAAAATTAACTACCCCATCGCTACCACGCCCCCTCCTCTCTTTAGATTTTAAATGCAGCCTCACCATCTGAATTCTCTATGTCTTTCTGACACGAGCAAAACACCAGGAGGAACGTGTTCTTGCGTATCTACTGAGCTAGCACTCCAACACACTCCGATGGTTTTCCCAGGAGCTTTTCCAGCTGCTAAGTTCCTTCGCCCCATGCAATAAAAGATACTACAGCCCCACCAGCCCTTGAATAGCTCTGTGTATCAAATGTGGCCCGCGAGCAGCCTGATAAATCCTTAATTATGGTGCAGTTCACCGAATGCCCCGTTCTGCTTCGCCTGACTCGTCCTAGGCGAGTCGGAAAGCAGCCGCTCAAACCTGCTTTAAATGCAACTTGTTTCAGCCTTGCACAACACAGAATGGGGTGGCTCCCCTGTAAAGAAATGTAGCATTTCAGATTGGAGGGCTATCTAGCTTTGCTTTCAAATACCTGTCAGAAAAAGGAAGATGCGACTGAAATCTCTTTGGGATACCCCTACATACATCCAGTTTCAAGTTAAGACGCTTGCACTCCCTGTGCTTTGGGTTTTGACTCACCCACATCACCCAGCTTGCTTAGAAATCAGTAACAAAAAGAACACGCTTTTGATAGAAACGGCCTTCTAGCAGACAATCCCACGATTAGATTTCTATACTAACGACTGCTGTTTTTGCACTTTGCTGTGGGTTTTGTATTTCTGCACCCTCGCTAACCCGATCTTCCTTGAAATGGGGGCAGTGAGTTCCACAGGTTATCCACGCCTTTGTCTCAAGAAGCATCGCCTAGACTCGGCTCCGAACTCCCCCCCATCAATTCTGCCAGGCCCCAAATTCTAAGCGTGTGCGAGAGGAAGGGAAACACCGTCCAGACTCCCCCATGGTGCCAGGTGTGACTTTTTTTAAACCTCTTCATTTTTTTTCTAGGGCGCAGTGGCCAATTCGACGCGTTTTAGAAAGCTTTGGGCCTCCTGATTCAATCTGGCATCTTGGCTGCTTGGAGCGCTGGTGCCAGGGAGAAGGCAAAAATCTCCCAGGTTCTGTTAAATAAACCAGAAGGGTTTTCTGGAAATACGCCCCAGAGAGTCCAGAAAGGATCCGAAGGTCGTCTCTAGCACAGATAGAAACAAAGCCTTCACGTGGTACCTTGGAGGCTTAGCAACGAATCATTATTTCAACCCAGATGAAGACATTACTCATCATTTTGCCCACAAAAGCTGGAACCGTTCACTGCCATCTTCCCCGCCAGCTGCCTCTGCTTTTCACCAGAGTCATGAAAAGGGAAGACCCCCCCCCCCCCACTCCCCAAGTGCCTTTCCATCATCAAACACCAAGGTCTCCATATACGGAACAGAAACGAAAGGCTAACTTTGGGGGCGAAGGAGAATTTTATGAATGCTATTTTTTTAACCATTTGAAGATGCTGGACAGAGCAAGGTAGACTGCAGGGGGGTGCATTCCAGGTTTGCAAAGCTTCGGGGGGGGGGTTGTAGAGCAGCAAATGCATCAAGAAAAAGTAAATTTAATTTCAATTTATTAAATTGGTTAGGGCTACCCACTCCATTAGACTCCGGGCAGCTTGCAGAATCCCCCAGATAATTCAAACACATCTAAACAGGCAGTCTGGACTAAAACAACCCGAACAATAAGTGGTACAAATGTAACAGGGGCTTGACAAATGCATAACAAACCCTGTTCAAACTGCGTTCAAATCTTGGTAAATTCAGCAGCCCATCCAAGTGGCTTTTTTGGCAGCATAACAGAAAACAACCTACTTGTGCAGTAGCAAACCACAGCTTTTTTTTCTTTCATTTCCCCAATTTGCCTAAAATCCTGCTGGTCTTCCATCCCACCGAGGTCCAATCCTGCTTAGCTTTTTACGACAAGACAAGCTGCTCAATTGGGTGCACAATAAAAAATTAAAATAAAAAAGCTTATTTTCGAAGCACTGGATGAGGAGAGGAAAATCTCCATCCTATCAAGTAATCCCTTGCGTGCCGTGTAAAGAGAATATGCCTTGTTAAATCCTGTGTATACGCTCTGATAACCTTGTAATGTTTTCATAGTAAGGTTTGCATGCAAATAAGCCTAGGTACCATAAAGCTGCTGTTTTGCCAAGATGCCCTGATTCTCCTTCAATTATTATTACTTTTAAAAAGCTAGAAATCCATGGCACAGTGAATTCAACTCCATGGGTTTTCTCAGCTACAAAGAGAATACTTGATCCAAATCTAGGGTTGCCGCAGAAGTCTCTTCCTTGGTGGGCATTACCCCCAAATCCTCCTTTGATTGCTGAATTTTTTAAAAAAAAAGATTAACTAGAAATATTCTTTTTACAGAATAATTCATTCAGAATGATTACTCTCTGGTTCCATCTACCACAGGGGTCCCCAAACTCTTCAGCTCATCGACCCCTTCGTGAAATTTCAGATTGGTCAACCCCCAAATATTTATTATATGAAATTCATTTAATAAATACTACTTTAACTAATAGTACTACAAATAACAACAACATCGACCTCTTGGATAGTCCCTTCAGCCGTTGGGGGTCAATATTGACCACTTTAGAGAACCCTGATCTACCGGCTTATAAACACGCAATAGTCCTAACATATACAGACTCCGTTCACATGATAGGTTTACACATGGTTAACGTACCCATGGTTTAGGGAATTAACCCAATTATTAATGTTTGCACCGCACAGCGAACTGTAAATTTAGCCCTCTAGGTTGCCTTCTCACAGCAGACTAACAGCAGTGCTGCAAGTAAACCTATCAGCTTCATATCTCGGTTTTGTTAGCCATGGTTTGTTAAACTCACAATGGCTGGGTTCAGACGTAACCCTAAATCCAGAGCAAACACGCCACAGCATGAGTTCGTATGAGATGGAGGGAAGTAATTCAGGTCCAAAATTCATCAGTCATCAAACAATAATTCTGACATTAAACCTACAACAAAACTCCTCTGGGAATCACTCGGTCAACCACAAGCCAAGGTGGCCCCAAGCTGAAAAGAGGGGACCCCCACCGAATCCAGGAGGGACGTAGGCAGCGAAGATGCCCAACTTAAAATCCACTACAAGACCCCCTTTTCCAATAAGCTTGCCTGGAGGTGGCTGGACCCCTCCCCAATTAGATTTCCAGAAATGTGAAATGGCCCCTGGTCATTTCTTTTCTATTTCTCAATGTAAGAGGCAGGACTGCTCTCCCAACCCTGGGGCCTTTGGGATGGCTTGGACTACAACTCCCATTGGCCGAGTCCAGGGAGCACCACAGAGCTGGGGAGAGGCGGTGTAGGAATTCACCTGCTTTGGGGCCCGCCCCAGGCCCTGAAGCCAAGAGGCTGGGTTCACATGACACACCCAACCTAACCCAGGTCAAAGCTGAGCCGGGCT